TAAATTAAAGGTCAGCAGGGAACCGAGATCTCTGCCCAGCAGAGAGTAAGCAGCCTTTTGTCATATCCCTAAAGACAGACAAGAGGCTACAGGGTAGAAAAGCCAAAGCTATGCATTTTGCAAGTCTCAGCTTTTCAGAGCACTCAACCATCTGCCCCTAAATCCCATGCATCTCTAAGGAAGAGGTGCTGCTAAACAAATATGAAAATTTCTCCTTTCTGAAGTTCACCACAGAATTATCAGGCTTGTTGCAACCTATGTGTCACTCAGGCAAAGCAGATGCTTCTCATGTGGTCTCTCAGGCAAACAACCGGATGGGCAGATGCACTGAAGGGGGGAGATGTGTCTTGGAAAACACTCTGCCTATTAAAGCATCTTCATGGTGGTAGAAGTGTCAAAACTGCAGGCACTTGGCATCTCACCAGGGCTCAAAACAGTAACTCTTAAGAAAGCCACAGCCCCCAGGAGTTCAGAGTTGTCTGACTGCTAGGTCTAATGATCACCTGGAATTTCACAGTGTTAATGAGAACTCAATGCAGATTTTCCTGATCCAAATACAAGTCCCTAGTGTGTAAGTGAAAGAAAAAACAGCCCACGCATCCACAGGAGAGCAGGTACAAGTCTGGCAGTTTCAGCTCCCAGCAGCAGAGGCTGTATGTACAGTTGCAAAGTGTTGTGAAGCCCTGAGCTTGTTAGTTCTTAGGAGAAGGCAATTAGCAGTATGACTGCTCCACAGGAAGATGAAGTAGCCCTGGCCCATGGCAGGAAGCGTTTCTGCTCTGGTACAGCCGGAGACTGAGGATTCACAGTGGGCTGCAGCCTGCTTCACTGCTTCCTTATGTCGGCACTCCAGGGTGGTCTCATTTCAAATGATGGGTGCTCTCAGATCACCAAGCTGGCCCTGATCACTAGCACTGCTACTTGACAGGAAAGAGGAATCATAGCTGGGAAGAAGTATTCTTGGTAACTTCCTCTGGTATCTGCATGTTACATTGATTTAATTATAGCTGCAAACCTCAAATTACACAATGGCAAAGTGCGTTTTCCAAATATCTTCCTGTGATTTCCAGGAAATGGACACCCCCTATCTCAGGTCCAAAACCAGCCATCGGCAGGTTGGGTCAGCAGCTGGGAGCAGGCACTCTGGGACCCAGCCCTGCCTCTGCCCAGCACCACATGGGGACACAGCCAAAGCCACCTCAGCTCAGTCTTGGCTAAGCAGCTCTGTGCCTTGGTTAACTCGGTGCATGTGGAGGGTTGATATCTCGCAGTGGCAATGTGTAAAACCAAGCAACACCCACCGACTGAATCTGGCCTCTAAGTGCCAAACACCAGAACAGCCAAAAGATGCTCAGGGAGAACCGAGGCTGTCCTGGATTTATCACCATGATAAAGATAGAGATTGTGTTTCTTCACCTCTTCCCCTTCTCAGCAGCTTCTTTCCTCTTCAGGCACAAAGACATGATGTCTCCACAGTGGTTTTGCCCACTGATAAACACTAGTGACTGACATGTTTCACTGAGGAACAAAGGGCAGGACTGAGGGATCAGCTGTTTCCAGGCTGCTCCAGCATTTGCCAGTCTGCTGTGTCAGGAAAGACATTTCAATACTCGGCAGGACACCAAATACAGACAGGGGTAATATTCAACACCCTGCTGGGGCTCTCGAGTTAGGGATGGGAGACACACATGGGAGCAGCTTAGAAGGAAGCCTAAAGAGAACATGAGATGAATAAAATTGACTAAATATATAACCCAAACTGAAACAAGAGGTTTTAGCTTAAAAGAGGAAGGCTGACAATACATGAAGCTAACTGGGGACTTGCTTTTGCCATCAACGTTACATAGCAGATGCTCAGACATTAACTTTGTTGGGGGCAGAATAAAATGCAAAGAGAATTAAATATTTTAAGGCCTAAAGAGCCATTAGTTCACGAAGTCTGACCTCTGCTTATAGCACGTGTTCCAAAATTTCACTAAATGATTCCTACATTAAGCTCAATTTTTCTTCCAGAAATGAAGCCACTTTGTAAGAAAAGGGTGTTGAAGTGCCATAATTCAGGAGGGTAAGGCATGCATCAGGTGTGGCTTTCTTGTGACCAAGAGAGAAGAGGAATGACACAGGCTCCCAGGCCATGGGTTGTAGCCATGCCTCACCCAGCTGCTCAGCCTCTGCATTGCAACTCTGGCCTCGTCTCACCCCCCATATTGCAATAAGGAGATGTTGGTATTGAGAAATCAGTGTCCCACCAGGACCTGGCATCACTGCGCAGAGAAATACAGCAGAAGCTGCCAAAAAAAGCCAAAAACTTTCAAAAAAAGAAATCAGAAACAAAAAGCTTTTCTTTTAAAAGAAAGAAAGAAAGAAGCCAGCATTTAATCCTCTTGCCTCATAATTGAGCCCAGGGTTATGCCACAATTCAGGTAAATGATGTTTATATAACTGGCATTTGGCTGAATGCATAATTCCTATTTAACAGCTGAAGAGAAGCATTTTGGATGTTCAAAGAAATCTGACAGGTAATTCCCACCGTAGTTCTGCAGGGTAGCTGAGAGGTAATTATCCTTCTCACTAGTAAATCAATTAGGAATGAATGTATGGAAAGCTTTTCTCCTCCTCCAAGTAACTGCTAATCCTCTAAGCACTAATGAGCAGACAGGGCTAGCAACAGTGTGCAAACCCATCAAAAATCAACAGGAGCTGTGGGGCATGCAGGGTCCAATCAGTACCTGAGAGCTAATGCCTCAGGAGAAAATATCTTGCCCTGGAAATGGTCTGCACAATTCACTGTGTGCACACAGGCCCTGTGCAATTGTGTTACTTTTGGTATCTCCCTCCCCGTTTATTGCCTCAAAGACCTATTTTTGAAGCTCACAAGAGATCACTGCGCTGTGTTTAACTAACCAGCACTTGTGTTGTTAGAGGTAAAACACAAGGGATCTGGACTTTCTCTACTGGGGCGCAATTGATTCACCTACTGCTTTGTGATTCATCATTGCTGGTTGTCCTCAGGAGCTCAGCAAAAACATGTTGCTTACTCTGCAGGCCACTGTGACAATATTCACGCAGAGAGACTTGGAGAAGATTGCAACCCAAGTGCATTTTTTGTAGTGCACAACCTCATGAATCTGTAAAGGGTGGGTGGCCAGTAAGCCTAATATTGAATTTGACAAATTCCAGATGCTCCAACCCAGTGACACCTTCTTCAGGCATTTTTCAAGTGCTGCATGGATGTTTGGAATTGCTTTGATGGTCAACAAAGCAGAGTCAGCTCCAGGTTCAGACAAACCAGCTGTTTAACTATGCACAGTAACAGTGCCCATATACATAGCAGAGGTAGTAAGAATGGAAACAAGTTGTTCCCTCAGCAGCCAACACTGAAGCTGGTTTTCTGTCGTTTTTTCTTACAGCTCATTTCTCCATTTCAAAAGATCTTTCAGAAGGGAGAAGATGGAAGACAGACAGATAGGCCTAGAAATCACTTCCTTAAGAAATAAGACCAAAAAAAATTTTAAAACATTGTCATCTGAAATAAGAAAGCAGCAGGTAAAGATAGGTCTGCATGTCACTATATGATGAAATGTAGGTGTTATTAATAAAAAAAGAGAGAAAAGACTGCTAATCTGTAAAGCTCGATAGCTTGAGAAATTGCTGGAAGATAATCATATATAGTACTCCGAATTGTGAGGGAGACTTTACACCAGTGACGTAGGATTTGTAACTGAGCATATTGCCTCTGATTTTGGGTGGGCAGAGTTGCTTTGGAAACAGAATGAAGAAGAATTAACTCTTCTGTGCCCACCATATTGGATATGGGAGGGGTGTGAAGGCCAGAAGAGCTCATTACAAAACATCTTCATTCCATTTCGCTCAGAAAAAAAGAAGTCAAGGTAATTGTCACAATAATTCAGCTTCTGCATCAGAAAAAACATAAACTGACCTCTGCCCACTGCATTCTTCCTCTCCTCTATACATCCAAACACACACACCTATTGTTGCTAATAGTAATCAGAGCTATAACTGCCTTAAGGTTGCATAGGCTGGAATAAACATAAATCCTGAAACCTCTGTAGACTGACCAGTAATGAAAAACACAAAAATAGTAATAAGAACAGTACAAGTAGCAAAATACTAGTTTGAAAACCTATCGATGGAGACAGGAGATGGGTAGTTCAGAAGTGATCAAGTCAAATGGGCTGCACCCTATCCAAACACAACTCCACTGCCAGCAATTAGCTATGTGCTGCAGCCTTCCCACATTGATTTCTGTGGGTAGCTGAAAGCATCTTTGTCCCACTACCTCCTTTGAATCAACACAGGCAGTAATTTTAAACTAAAAAGGCACTGAGTAGTAACTCCTGGGCTGCGCTCTGTGAGCCAGATGCAGCCCTAATTGCATCACGTGGGTAGCGTGAGCAGGGGCTTTGAAAGCTGTGACCTCATCTTCTCTCCTACACACTCAAATGAAATCTTAGGTCTCCCACCCACTCTCCCAGGCATATTCTGCTTTCAGCCCCCTTACATGATGTAACCAATGAAAATGTCATTTACATCTTTACCTCCAACTTCTAGCTAGCAAAAGCATAAATGGGAAAAGAGTCAAATGCAGAAATAAATGCCTTTTACTCAGTATTTCTAATAATAAGGAGACAGAGAAGGCAGGGAGAGGTATATTAGCCAAAGCCAGTGTAAGCAAGAGTCCTAGAAACATTTGTGTGAGTTCAGCTTCTTTAAAGCTGTGACAGTCAGAAGCAAATAAAAGCAACCCTTTTATTTGTCTAATACATTCATCAGGAGATTAAGCGCTCCATCCCCATCACAAGTAAAATAGGCATAGTTCTACTAGATTCCATGGAATTGCACTAGTGCAACTTAAACAGCAAATTCAAGCTCTTGTGAATTACCAATGGATTTCACTTTAGAATCATGATTCCTCTCAGAATGAACAGAATGCCGTAATTTTGTTTCTATAGCTACCAGCTCCGATAGCTCTCCCTTACCTTCCTCTTGTTAGTGGGACTGACATAAAGGTAGCTCAGCACAGTCTTCAGGCCTACTTTGTCATTTAGCTTTTCATAAGTAGTGCCATAGTCTGTTGACCTGGAGAAAAGAGGAGACAAAAAGAGTTTATGTGGTTATTAGAGCTCAGGGGAAGGAAATGACTGTGTGAACAGATGCTCAAAGTTACAGCTTGAGCATTATTACCCTTAGAACTCAAGCTTTTGTGTTTCATTCAGGGTGGCCAGCAGGAAAGAGAAGAAAGCTTGAGCCCTTTGGGGCAGGGTCTGTCTCTGAATCAATCGATCCTGTGCACCTGGGGTGCTGTGGTGCACCCATGAAGATGGACTTCGGGGGCAGGCTCGCCTCTCATGTGCCAGTGTGGGACTGCAAATGATATCTGCGTGAGAGGACTCTGATCTCAGCAGCACCCTTAGCACAAATTCTCTTTTCAGACAAATGTAACAAAAGAATCCAAATTAAACCCATCAACAACAGTTTTATTTAAGTAGCCTGATTTTTGACTTGGAGATGGGGATCCAAATGTGGCTCAGAATTGTAACAGCTGAACTCATGTCTAGATAAAAATGTGCCTAAACTGGCATCTTGAGTCCTCAGTCACCCCCATCCTACTTTGTGCCAGGCATTTAGTATTTCTCAGTTACAGAGACAGATTCAGGCCCCTACACTAGCAAATCCCACCCGGAGGAGCAGATGATCTGGGGGTGGCATTACCCATTCGTGACTGGGGAAAAGGGCTGCTTCGTCACAGAGGGTTTTCTGTAGCTTCCTCCTCCTCTTTTGTGGGCATGTTTGAAACCTCACTTTGCCCTGCTTGTTTCTCTGCTATTTTCATACTCTATTTTTCCTAACAAACAAGATTTTTCCTACCAGAACAAATCAACAGCTACCTAGTACAGGATCACACACCTGAAGAGTGGTTAGCACCAGCTTGCTTTAGGAGTGGTGTCACAACCTGCAAGAAACCCCCCCTGCAACCCATCCAAACAGTGGGGAGAGCCCGACTCCTGACTCTACACAGCTTCTATCATACGGACAGAGCAAACACAATCCTTATCAGGTGGACAAGGAAAGACTCTCACAAAAAGCCTACCCAGACCTATGACTCTAAGATGAGAATTCACAGCCCCTGCCCTCCTCTCTAATTACGCTTTTTACTAAACAGATGATTAGAGAACATGTAGCAATTCAGTGCTTTTCCCAGTAACTAGCTCCAGTTGTAAGTTCAGCAAGCCTCCAGCATCTGCAGCTTTGTGGTTCTGCCTGAGACCCATCCTCTGCTCCTTGTCTGTCTGGCAAAGAAATGGCCCAAGTCACCCTTCTAGCATCACAGTGACCTGTGCCGCTGCACCCAGCGGCTCCAGGATCCCACTTAAGTGACTGCAGAAACTGAGCGGTGCCAGAATCTGCACCCAGCTCCACTGGTTTCCTCACTGCTAGTGGAGTCCAACATGACACTGAAAAGGTCATACCACAAAACCAGACGGCTGGTTTCAGACTTCGAAGTAGTAGGACCCATGAAGTCAAAAGCTTATTTTATCACTGATGCGGCTCCAACACATTTGCTTCTGTGCATCTTTCAAACACAATTCCTGAACATTTTGCAAACTGGTTCTTTCCTTAAATGGGTTGAACCAACTTTCCTCCTTTGAATGCTCAACAGTTAGGATTGCTTCAGGTCTTAAACAACTTCCTTGTGTTCTGGTTTAGCTCTTTAATACTAAAATAGAGCTAATACTAGCTCTATTTACACTTAATACTCCTTGGTACTAATGCACAGTATTGATACTCACTGGGCTTCAGAGACATCCTGAAGTATATTGCAATAATGTACTGTATTCCCATAGTGCTTTCCCATCCAAAGAATCTGAAGCTCTTGTCTCACTAGATGTCAATGCCACACAAAAAACGTAGCAGCTTTCCCTGTCCAGCCAAACTTGAAACTGAAGCAGCTCGATTAATAGAACTGAATAATCCAGGTGAATTAATTCCACTACATGAGGCCTCCTATACATGCAAATTCAGAGGTCAGGAATCCTCAAGTAACACCAAGCTCTAAGCAGAGGGTAACGCAGAGGGCAAGCACTGAGGTACTTCCTTCATCTCACCCTTCCAACAGCACTGAAGCTCCGAACAAGCCACATTTGGGACTACACATGTAATAGCACACTGGTTTCAATCAACATTCAAAGAGAATACAAATAACAGATTAATATTCTGACAGAGCTGCTTTGGTTTTGTTCTCCAAGTCATTTTCAGATCTCCCAAAATGCCTTGCACTTCTAAAGATGCGGGCTGGATGCCCTAATGACTCTTTCTCATTAAACCATTATCACTCATTGCATTTGCCCTTTCAAAGAATAGCTAGAAAGGAAGTAGGATCATTATTTCGTTAGCTTCTCTAAGGCTTTCTTTATTATCATGACAGTCACCACTGGCTTCACAGAAACGTCTCAAAGGATATCACAATAATATACTGTATTTCCACAGCACTTTTCCATCCAAAGAATCTGAAGCTTTTGTCTCATGTTAATCCATTCAAACTAACAAAGTCTCAAGGGCCATACTGGGAAATATTATCTCTATTCTAGAGATGAAGAAACTGAAAGCTTGCATAGGTAATGGTTCATTTTTTCCAAAAACAGGAATCTACAGTTAGCCATTTCAGCTTCTATAATCATCTAGTGTATGGCTTGATACTCAAACCTGTTAAACTCCTACCACCAAACTGCCTAATTTGAAAACAAATATTTACCAAAAAAAAAAAAAGTTGGCCGCCTAATTTTAGCAATGCAAGCCTGAACATTTGAAGATATGTGACCCACAGGTAAAACGGAACAGTTCTGGCTCAGCTTTTAACCTTAACTTGAACCCTTCTCCTTTACTAATTACTTACCTTTGCAGTCAAAGACTTCTAACTGCAAATTAATTAGCCCACAAGTCCTTACAGTTGCTTGACACTACAAGCAGACTGGATACCATGTTTTCTCCCATTCCTCTGGTCAGAATAGGATCCACTTCAAAGCATATTATTAAAGGAGTGGAAGAGAAGAAAGGTTGTAGTTATATCAAAATGACAAAAAAGATTCAGTGATACGAAAGACCCTTTCCATTAGTCACACCCCAAATGCCTGCTTGAACCTTGGTTGGGCCTTTTATGGCCATTTGATCCTGCCTAGCTGGTTCTCCTCTGGGAGAACCATTGAAGCCATCACTAGAGTCTCATCATCTTGGAAGGCTGTTATTGCCTTCAACCTCAAGCTGATGGGGACAATTTTTTTAGCAAGGCCTGTTGTGACAGAATAAGGAATAGTGGATTTAAACTAAAGAAGAATAGATTTAGACGGGATATAGGTGAGAAACTTTTTACAATGAGGGTGGTGAAACACTGGAACAGGTTGCCCAGACAGGTAGTGGAGGCCCCATCCCTAGAAACATTCAAGGTCAGGCTGGATGGGGCTCTGATCAACCTGATCTTGTTAAAGATGTCCCTGCTCGCTGCACGGGGATTGGGCTAGATGATCTCTAAAGGTCCCTTCCAACGCAAAGCATTCTATGGTTCTATGATATTTGCAGATTGTTTCTCACCACATACACACATACATGCACATACACACACGTGTATACATAAAAGTGTTATTAACAACGCTTTCATAAAACAAATTGTTGCACTTCGTTACACCGCTAGTAGCATAGAGACTGTTACAACGTGGTATGGACTCTGGCTATATATACAAAGCCTGTACAAGCTCAGTCCATGCATTTTGTCCCACGTGTCCTTATAACATTGATCTTACACCATGTCACTGTCCCCTCTATCCTGCTTTCCATCCTGCAAACCAAGCTGCTAGCAATACCCCAAGAGAGGCTGCACAGTGAAAAGCAATAAAACTCCAGTCTTGAATGGACTTTTGTCTACTCCAATTCAGCTTTTTGATTTTTATAACTAGCAGTTCCTACCAGCCATAAGGAAGAACCTCCTCGCTAGTCTTGGTTAACATGAAGACAGACTTGATTCAGTGCAACACAAGTGTCATATTCATATAACCTAACAAATGTAGGCTTTCCCTGAACAGGCTGTGGCACCAAATCCTACATGTTCCCTTTGGAAAAGCAAGCTTTATAATGTAATTAATTTATTAGGAGACTGTAAATTCTCCCATAATCGTATTCTATTATAAACCATTGGGAAACAAAATCACCTGATTGATTCCACTGCCCTCCCATGACGAGCTGCAACTTGTTTTAACCTTTGCTGCAAGTGCTGTCCCACAGTCTGGCAGAGCAGGGCGCAAGGCGCACACCCTTGCAGAAGCAGAGAAGCTTCGCTCTACCAAACCTGGTTATAACTCAGTGCACCAAGAGCTAACAAAATCCGTCTTGTTCCTATAGGTCTGAGCCTGAGCTTCCCTGTGAATCCAACAAACAGGCATGAGCCAGCAGACTTTAATATTGTGATAAGACTTGCTCATCCCAGGGACATGAAGTAGAGGTGTGGAGAAGCAGAGAAAATACTATCTGAACAGCTTTTAGAGGAGACCTCCTCTTGGATGGTTTCCATCTCAGGGCTCTGTCAGGCTGAGAAAGGAGGTTTTGTTTTCAGTCTCAGCTACTCAGCTATGGAGATAGGCTATAAAATATGTACCAGTCTCTCAGGAGCAAAAGAGCTGCAAATGCCTGCGCTGGATGGCTGGGAGGGACAAGTCACCCTCCTGGAGCATACATGTGCCACCAACTCTGCTGTCAGGGGGTTTCTCCTCTGTGCCTGTGACTCTCCCCAACTGTGTGTGGAGAAGGAGCAGGTATGGTTTTGATTTTAGATTCTCAGCCTCTTTTCTAAGATACTAAAGCTTATGCATCTCCAGATCAGAGTCCCACTACACACACACATGCAGCCCCACATTGAGAACCGTGTGGGGGCACAGCTCTGCTTAAATGAGCAGGAGAACATCGCGATTCTCTGTGCACTTCAGACGGCAACAGGAACACACGCAGCCCAGATTAACATTTGCTTCTCTTATTGTGTGCCTGTAAACTGTCTGCCTGCAGTGTGCATGCCTCTCCATACCCCCTAAGCAACA